TATTGCATCACCACAGTGTACATGCCAGAGCCCAGTTACACGCCTTTCGAATGCAGGACGGGGAGGGTATCAACTGTTCCTATCATGCCCGATCACCTTTCCATTTGCTTGTTCTGTTGCCCTAGCCACCAACTAGATTTGGGCTCAGCCTCAACTTCGCATCATTCCGACCGAGACAGAAACGATGAGCTTGATTTAGCCTCCGATGGGGAGGGTCAGCCAAGCCCCTGTACCTTCATCCGACCAGTCCTCTTCCGAATCAGACGCTACGAGTAGCACATTCGACCCCGCCCTTTGCTACCAAGCCTTAAGCTGGGCTTTGAAGCCAATCCGTGAAGATGGCCAACCAGCATTTCTCCCTAAGTATTCTGGGGTCACAAGATGAGCACTGCACGTCAGGGCAGTTGGGTCGGCATACAAATCAAAACAGGGCATTGTCAAGGTGTCAGAATCAGCAAGTAGACATGTCAGTATGTAGAAAAAACTTAATGGATTGACGTTGGAGTACCCTTCATTTCGGCTGAAAATGAAAGTGGAAATAATTCTTAATTTATCCTCGTCGGAGGCTGGTAAAGGATTTTTCATTTAATAAGTAGGTTTTCGAGACTACCAGTCGATCATAAATATGAGATATATTCAGTCTATTTCGTCTAAGATAATGAAGCGACTGGTAATACAAGTTTCCCGCATTAATATATTAGTATATCTTAAATGTCCATTGAATTTGGCAAAACCGTACTTTCCCAAGAGGTATTCGCATCCAGTATGGACTACAGTTTCGACCTGGCTTAAGTCTCATCAGCAACTCTCAGCGGGACTCGAACCATTAGAATATAGCGCGTAATCTCGGCACGTTATTCACTAAGCCACATCGCCACGAGTGCCCTTGGGTCAAGAGGTCGCTGTGAATTTCAATTAAGGCAAGACATGTTCTTATATCACATTCTGTAGTGGGATTGTCGATAAAGCAAAGTTGTCTTTGCTAGAGCGATCGCCCATGTTACTTATTTTTCGTTTTATAAGTAGGTTTTCGAGACTAACAGCTTTGCTTCATCGACAATCAGACCAAATAGTGTGATGTATGAAAATGCCTTGCCTTCGTTAAAATTCACATCTGCCCTGTGACCCAAGGATACTAGTGGCAGTGTGGCTTAGTGTTTAACGCGTCGAGACTACATGCTACATTGTCATGGTTTGAGTCCCGTTGGGGTTACTGATGAGCCTAAGGCGAGGTCGAAAATGCAGTTCGCCCTAAAAGAAAAGCAAGGCTATGTGAAATTTACTGGAAACGTAGGGTCTACTCATAGCATAGTTGGAAAATTCAATTAACAGTCCCCTTATCACCTTACATGAAATAGGGTGAATAACCTCATATGAAGGACGGTTATCTTTGAGCTGTGAATAAAGATTCGTGAGAATAGGTCCTCAACGCTCCTTCATTCTACCCTGATGAATCTGGGCGGTGCGCCGAGTACCTATTCGCAGAAATCTACCATCACAGAGCTCTGGCAATTCCCCTACAGCTTGCGGTGAGGCCAAACTACAAATCTCTTTTACTCGCCTTCTTAACATAAATAAAAGGTACTCTAACAAGTAGACATGCCGTCGAAGAGTTTTCGCCAGAGATATACTCCACATCACCGTTAGAGCATAAATGGAACTCGCACATAAGGAATACATGCTAATAAAAGCTGAGCTTAGCTTAATTTCTTGCTTTAGAATAGTTGAGCATATTTCGATTTCGAGAGAAAATGAAAATGTGATGAAGCTATTCAAAGGTGGATCTCACCAGAAGACGATGACGAATTCCTTTAGACCAGTTGTCGGTTGGCTTTATTGAGACGTCATTGCTGATGCTTTCAGCGATGCAATTTTTTGCGTATCCTGCCCTCTCTTATATAATGTATATTCTCACAACAGGACACTTTTATTGTTATCACTATATTAAATCTATTGAGTCAAGGAAACCCACTTTTTATATGCCTTAAATGTATGCACTTTTATGAGACATAAAGTGATTTGATTTGTTAGGGGGAACTTCATTTCGAATGAAAGTGCATACAACTAAGGAACTCTGCTAATTGTTGGCTATATTCAGTTAAAAATTCGTATGATTTTGTGAAATTGCTAGATCAGCAGACAATTTCTGAAGAGGATAAGCTAGTAAGTTTTGAAGTTGTGTCTATGTACACAAGCATTCCTGTTCAAGGAGCTATTCAAGCTCTGATACAAACTCTGGGAAAACATCCAGAGATAATACAAGGAATAAGACTGAGAGTTGCTTCCATTATTAGACTTATTAATCTATGCATGAGTACCACATATTTTACCTTTGACGGTAAGTTATACGAACAAACGCAAGGTTTAACGATGGGATCTTGCCTGTCTCCCATCTTAGCGAACAATTATATGGCAAGATTTGAGGAACCCTTTCTGCAAGAGGCAATACTAACACCCAAATTGTGGGTTGGATACATGGATAACTATTTTGTCATCTGACCTCATAGTAAGGACAATTTAGGTAGTTTCCTATTTCCACTCAACAAGCGTGAAAGGAACATTAGGTTCACGATGGAAATGGAAGAGAATAAGTCCTTACCTTTTCTGGACGTTCTCATCATTAGAGAAGAGGGTAAAGTCAGGAAGAGATGTTCATAGGAAGCCAACATATGTATGTTTGTATAAAAGCCAAACGGCTGCAGTACAACGAGATTCATCCGTCCTCATC